GAAATGCCCATTCACAACTTCATAACTTTTTCTTCGGAATCTTTAATAATTACCACACATGCACCACACAGTAGCGCATTCAATAGCAAAACATTAGCTGAAGTGTTTTCCAACATAGTTATTGGTAACTTTGAAAACTACTCAGAACTTATTGACACACTCAGAAATCGATACCAAAGCATTAATTAAAAAAAGTCAAGAATTAATTGCTGTTCATGTAAGACCTAGCCAATATATGATGCAGATTTCAAAATGTTCTGATATCAAATGCAGTACTGAGCCACGAGGACAATATTTTCATATTTTAAAAGAAAGATATCTTCCACCTTTTAGTTCCTTTTAGTTATTGCCCTCTTATTGAGTCACAGTTTATAGTTGACAAGATTTATTGCTATACATCTCTTTTCTAATCTCTACATCTTGCTCCAAAAAATATTCTGTTTGACCAACATTGTCCTAGCATCAAAAAAATCTTTTAAAATAGAGTGTGCAAAAAGTTCAACATTTATTTTGCATCATTAACTTTGCTTGACAATCACAAAATAATTCATCTGAAAGAGAAAAATTTTCAAATACCAAAAGCCAAGGTAAAGAAAATTATTCAAAAGGAAGATAATTTGACAACTTGCTTTCTTAGAAAATGATATAGACTTATAGGTGGACAAAAATATGGGTGAAAAAAAAGCAGACGTATGGGTGGACAAAAATATTTTACAAGAAGAAAAATCAAACTTATTGATTTTTTTATGGAAGCGCTAGGTTGGGGTAGGGTAGGGGGGGGGGGGGTAGGGGATATTTTGTGATAGTTTGACAAAGGAGGAAGGGGGGAGGTATTAGGGGTCTAAAAAGTTATTTTTTGCATAAAATAATTTACCAATGACCCAAACCACTCTGCCATTTCTTTTTTGATACTTATTTTAAAATATTTTTAATGCAAACAAATTCAGCCATTTCTATAAATTTTTGCCTAACAAAAGTTTACATTTGAAAAAAAAATTTTGTAATTGGAAATTAAAAGTTTCTAATAGGTTTTAAATGTGTGAAAAATGTTTCTTATTGCTTCTGATTAAGAAGTGCTATAGCAAATAAATATTTCCACTTCTAACAGAAAACTGTATAGCACATGTATCCAGTGTGACATAATGTATGGCAGTTCAATTTTAAAACTTAATGGGAAAAAATATAAGTTTGAATTAAAAAGGAAAGTTGACTTTTTACAGTGACATTTCACTTTGCATTTATTCAAATCATTAAGGATTTTGAATTAAGGAGATTTTAATTAAAGAGATTGTACTGTAACATGATGAGTCTGAATAGACCAGACATTTATGCTAGAAATAGATTAAGAATGTAAGCATTTTTAATGCATATGGAAAAAATAACAATAAAAACAGACTTACAAAAATTGTTAATGCTATCAATTTTATTGAAAAAAACTTATCATATAAATGATAAAACAAATTTACTTAAGTTATAATTTTTGTTTTACAATGGATTTGTACGTGCTATTTTTAGTATTTTTATTTTAAAAAATTCAAAATATATGCTATGCTGATAATACAAAAATGTCCATCAGGTTTTCTAATGAGTTACATGACAAACTATAATGTAATTTAAACTGTGCATATACATGGACACAATATTGGTTACTAAGTTTTAATATGAACAAATGTTTAGCTATGAGCTATGCGCTAAATGTTATCCAATTTATATAAATGCTTGTAAACTCAAAACATCAGATTTCAGCCATCTTGCCTGCCCACACATGAAATATATTGTTTAAACAGTTTGACCACAGTGTTAAGATGTTTTGATTAAATGTATTTATTTATTTATAAATGTAATGAGATTTTAATGTAAAAGAATAAAAAGTCATCTTTAAATGTTAAAATCTAAAATATTTGGTCGTACTCTAGGTAAACTATATTATACACTCTTCTCTGCTTATTCCAGGGCATGAAAAAGTGCTAGCCAAATGGTCATTTTTTAACGATTTTAAAAATTCATCTTCATTTAATATTAAAACTAAAATAGCAAAAGAAGCTTTGATTGAATTCAAAATGAATATTAAAATAAGAATACCAAAGGAACATTTTATTTAACTAAATTAGGGACAGTAAAATTAAATAAAAAATAAAAAAAAATTGAAAAACAAAAAACATTTTATATAATTATGAAACAAAATAATTAAAAAAAAAGAAGACAAAATTAATGTTTTAATTAAACCTAAATTAAATCTAGATAAATTAATTAAAAATAAACAGAAAAAATAAAAAACATTTTATGTAAATATCAATAATAGATTCTTTAACTATTTTGCACCATTCATGCAAGGGCAATATAAGTTCAATAGGAGGCAATTCCTCCCATTGAACTTATATTAAAAAAAATTTCTTCAACTTTTCTGTCGCAATTCCTTTTTTAACGTAGCATGTAAATGACCACAGATAATTTTGTTGACTGGGTCATGCAATATATCTCGTCTCTTAAAATTGCTTAACATGAGGATAAATATTTTTTACACATGAAAACTTCTGACACCAATAGCCAAGGCTTCCCATTAGCAAACACAGGTGGTAGTAAGTGACTATGGCTATTAATATGTTTTGAAAATTTGTATACATTTTAAAAACGCGCTGAAAAAATCTTAACTTAACTCTGAAGAAAATTAAAAAAAAATTATTATAAAAGAAGCAAATAAATCTTCATTAAAAAAAATATATATATTTCAACTAAAACTAAAATTAAAAAACTAAAACTAAAAATTAACGAAAGTAAATAATAAAATATAACGATAAGATTATCTAAATTACGTTTGGAATAAATAACTTTAAATCGTTTATTTTTACTAGTGTTTTTATAAAATATGTTTTTATAATATATGTGAAACCCTTTTTAAATAAAGTAACAACTTACATCTAACAATGATTTAATAAATGCGCACATTTAAAAGTTGAAAAAAAAAAGATTCTTAATAATTTTTCGTAGTAACGTAAACAAAAGCAAAAATAATTAAATTGTTTATTTAAAATGTTGATATGATTTTTTATTTTATTTAAAGACATTTATTATAAAAAATATATTATATATACTAATTTATTATATATAATTATACTTATATTTACTTATTTAAATATAATAAAATATATTCATTATTCATTACCACTTTAATAAAAGATCATTAGCAGTGATTTGTTACTTTATTTAAATGCATTTTAATAATTTAAAAACATAAGAAACAAAGATCAAAGTTATTTAATTCAAACAGCTTTCAACAAAGTTTGTCTTTTTTCCTTCTCAACAAAATCATTCTTTTTTCAAGTGAATTAACTTTAATGATTCTTATATTAAGTTTGTTAAAGAGACTATCGCTGTTTAAATTCGTCGCTTAAAAAATTTTTTTTTGAATAATTATTATTTTTTATTTTACTTATAAATAAATCTTATATACAGTAAACTCCCGGCTGTTTAAACTGGCACTTACTTGAATTTTCCGCTTATTTGAAGCAAATATTATTCCCTGTAATTTTTACTTAATAAACTCATGCAAATATCCATTAGTTATTTGAACCAGCAGTTATTCGAAATTTTGTTTATTCAAAAATATTCTTTTGCTCCACTTGTCAAACACCTCATCAGTTATTCGAAGTTTTCCGTCGGCTCAAGATATTATTGCATTGCATTTCAAAACATAATTTTATCGAATGTAATCAAAATATATGTATGTATATTTGTAAAAAAAAATAAAGTTATCAAAATATAAAAAAATTAAACATATTAAACATAGTGCAATAAAAATTTTAACATGATGTCTACGCGAAAAAAGGCAGTACCATTCCCATACATTTTATTTACCTTTCAGGTTTAAAACTTTTAACTTTGTTCCTGTTACATTTTTTATCATCTTTGGCTAAATAAAACAAATTGAAATTGTTTTTATTAGTTCAATTTGCTCCTCATAAATTCAATGGGCATACGGTTCTTTTTGTTCAAATGTTAAAAGGAATGATTTAAAAATAGGAAGAATTTCAATGTAAAATTAATTAAACTAGTTATTATTCCATTATAATTTTATTTTACAAAAAAAAATTATTGCAAAAATTGTTCTTGTGAATATTTTAGTGATAAAAAACTTAGTTGCTTAAATGTAAACATTGCTGTATTCATTATTTTATACAGTTTTATCACAAACCAGCAGCAAAAATCATCGGGAAACTTAGAGTGAATTTTAATATTCATTATTTTATACAGTTTTATCACAAATCAGGAGCAAAAATTATCATGAAACTTAAAGTGAATTTTCCATAAAAATCTTATCACTGGAAACAATATCATCACAAAAATATTTTTTCCCCATTATTAGTGAAATATTCTGTTTTTAATAAAAATTTATCCAGTTTTTAAAATATCAGGTTTCAAAACTATTTAAATAATTATAAAAACTCTTTTTAATACTTAAACTTAAAACCTTCTTTTAAGTCCTGAAATATCACAAAATTAAATATTTTTATATTGAATCTATCACTATAAAAATGAGATTCAAAATTAAATTTATAATAAATTATCATGCAAGATGCCATAAAAATTTTTTTTAGACTAATTAAAAATAAATTTTTAAAAGATTAGCATATATATATATATGGGTAAAGCTACAGTTATGCAGCCTAAAATAATTATATTTTTGCACTTGTTGCGCCAGGGGGTTTTGCTTCATTGATTATCTTATAGCCTGACTCGCAATGGAGTGCTGCTACATCGACTATCTCATAGCCTGCTGCTACAAGGAAGTGCTGCTACATCGACTGAGAGTTTGGCATGGGGCAGCAATCTTTTTTCATTTATTATTTCAGTTATATTCCTATTGTTTGTAAAGCCTCTACTGAAGAGCGAAAAAATAAAATTTTAGGCCGCATAACTGTAGGATACCTAAATATGTATAAAAAAGAGAACTGATAGAAATTTTTGCAACAAAAAATTTATCACATTAGAAAACTACATACCTCAACAAACTGCACAATATTAGATTTTGAAGGACGATCCATAATTAAAAATCGCATATCTTTATACTCAACTAAGCAGTGACCAAAATTCGGTAACATACGGTTTCGTGCTGGCATTCTCATAGCAGTTCAGTTTCAAAATAAATAAGTATATAGTTTTATTGAAATACCTAAATTTCCAATACAATTTACGTTATGGAAGAAACAAGGCTTAAGAAAGATAGGTATCTATTTCTCAACAGAAATTTATTTGACAGTATGTAAAATATTTGGTAATTTTCCTCACGTATTAGAAATAGCAGATTATTTAGGTGGTTATTTTCAAAAAGATTACATCCACAAATTACTGAAATCAGTCAGTGTTGAGCTTCACACCAATATCCACTGTCTTCAGATAAGAAAAGCTCCATACATGTACAAACTTTCCAGAAGTTTATAAATTTCACCATATGCAATAATAGATGTATGTACTTAACTATAACTGAGCGAAAAATAAATGATCAGTCTCAATAAATTTTATATAAAAATTAGTAATTTTTAATTTTTTATATATATTTACAAGTATTTTATATCATAAGATTACTAGTACAAATAAATTTCAACAATGTAAAATATAGAAAAGAAGTAAAAAAAAAAAAAAAGATGCAATACAAAACCAATTTAAGTAAAATATTTTAAAACATTTTTAAACTTTTTTCTTCCGTAAAATAAAACTTATTTGAGATTGTAAATTGAGCAGAGTAAATTTTTTATATTAAAAGTTTATACATATATTCTTCGTAATAAACCAAAAGTAATTTAAATAAATCTTTAATAAAAACTGAGTCAATCTCTGATTATAAAAGAAGCAAATTAGAAAATCAGGATGTACCTATAAGTTATCATAGAGTAAACAGACGGTGCTTTTGGTCGTTAAAGAAATAAACTGCTACTCGTTACAAAATGTGTTATTACGACTTGTGATATCAAAAACAATAAATTCCACAAATGAAATTGTAGAATAACAAACGAAATGGCTACTTTAGAGCGTCTATTAAAAAACCGAGATGCATAATTCGATATTATGACGAAATTTTTCTGATTTCCATTATTTTTATATTAATATAAATATTTGTTACAAATTGTCTTAACATTAGGTTTTTAGTATTTTATTATTACCAATAATAATATTGTTATTAGTATTATTACAATTGACATTATTGTTGTTAATATTGTTATTTAGTATTATTAAACTATTATTACTATTACTGTTATTATTATCATTGTTTTTATCATAATTACTATGATTTCAAAAAGTCCATTCTTTCTAAAATTTATTTTTTCAACATTGGGATACTTTATTGAAAAAGGTACAAATCTAATTTCTAATTCTAATTTTAAAACTTAATTTTAGAATAAATAAAAAAATTTCATTATCTTTATTTTTGATTACGCAGTTATTGACTTTATTTGACCAAATTAGATTTTTTTTTTAATGAAAACAATAAAAATATGGATTAGCTCTTATAAGAAAAATGCTCTTCGTATATCAGAGATCGAAGGAGACCTAGCCTCTCCACCGGATTCCTGATTTTTCAAGTAAAGCATAAAACATAATTTAAAACTATAATTTAAAAATATACTGAGCCCCTCTCCCATCCATAAAAAAACGTCGTCGCGATCTGTGTGTGTGTGTGTGTGTGTGTGTCTATATATATATATATATATATATATATATATATATATATATATATATATATATATATATATATATATATATATATATATATATATATATATATATATATATATATATATATATATATATATATATATATATATATATATATATATATATATATATATATATATATATATATATATATATATATATATATATATATATACTTTAAAAAAAAAGTTTTTTTTTTTTAAGTTTACTTATTTTGTTTATAATCAAAACGAAATAAGGGGATTTTAATAGCGTTATTGACACGATACGTTAACGAGTCAATATTTAATATTATTATATTAAATATTGACTCATTACAATATATATATATATATATATAATATATATATATATATATATATATATATATATATATATATATATATATATATATATATATATATATATATATATATATATATATATATATATTTATAGCTAACTTCAAAACATGGGAAAAACTCCAAAATTTTAGGGCTCTTTCGTACCAAGCTCCAATCATCGCAATCTTTTTCAAAGCGTTTGTCTTTGACATAAGTATAAGCATATAAATTGCTCCATGTCTGGAAATTAAACGCTAAAAAACGCTACACTTGATATAATCATAAACAACTTTTACATTTTCTTATTATTTATTTACAAGCCAATTGTATTATTAGATCGGTATTTCAAAATAAAACAACTATTAAATGTTAATGAACATTGTACTTTGAATTATAAAGTTAGAATAACTATTGTAGCATCTATTTATAAAACTTGAAGCGTTTATTCATGGCAATAACAACCCAAAAAAATAAGTATTGTAAAATTATTTCTTTCTTTTTTTATAACTCCATCATAGGTATAAAAACGACGTTTATTGCTGAAGTATATTTACTAAAGCGGCATTTTTGTACTAGTTTTTATTTTGCAAAATTTGTTTACAAAAGAATAACGAATGAAATAAGACCATGTTAATTAATAAATGATCTCCTGTATATATGACATACTTTATAATATGTTACTTAGAATTTGCTTTTTTATTTTTAATAAATAAGGGGTAATTTGTTTCCACTGTTTTTTTGTATTAAAAAAAATACGTTGATAATACTAGAAAAGTAATTGATTCCCTTAAAATAAAAATACGTTAATAATACTACAAAAGCGTCACATAATGCCATTTCTATAAGAACACCAATTTTCTTTTCCATAATCTAACGCTATCTTAAGTTAATGTAAGTAACACTGGCATAGCTAGAAATAACTGACATAGCATAATTAGCTAAACGACTTGCATGTAATATTATCAATGCGATTCAAATTAGGTCACATAAAGTTTTGCAGACTTTAAGCTTTTTTCAAATTGTGCGAAATTGTTTTAAAGCAAACAATTACTACTTTACAGTTGATATAATATTCTTTCTAAATAAAAATAATAAACTTCTTTGAGTCAATAAAAAAAATAAAAAAATACTGTTTTAATCATTTATTTCAAAATGTGTAAGCAAAAACAGAAGTGCATATCAAACAAGCAATAATATCTCTTTAACAAAAGTTAAAATAAATTTGAAATTAATTGCGTATATTTTGCATTTTTTATGGATTGTTAGCAGTTTGCAAATGTAAGGTCGCATATTAATTTTTTCAAATTAGTAAAACAGGCAAATAAAGTATTCAAAATATAGATGTAAAAACTAAAAATTATTAGTCAGGTTGTTGACACGCAGGCACGGTGTTGCGTATTTTTTACTGTAGCAGCAATAGTCATGCCCCCATTAAAGTTAAATTTAAAAGGTCCTCATTGACAGTTAATTAAGCAAGCTCCTTTAATACAAAAACTTTTAGAATTTTCTGATGTTTTTTTTTTCAATAGTAATATTATTAGTATCCGCAATGAGGTCAACACACAGTAACAAAAAAGAAATTAAAAAAAGCTTCTTATATCTTTAAAAAAATTAAAAGTATTTTTTTTAAGAAGAAAGAATTATGGGCGTCTGCAGATAAGTGCACCAGTTGCATTTGTACCCAGGGGTGGAGAACATTAGAAGCCATGTGAGCCAGGGCCGTAGGTTTTAGGAAGAAGTCGGAGCCGTTAAAAACTATTCGGCTTTTTGGCTCCATTCACTTTGAATTTTTAATTCAATTTAGCAGTTTGGAAAAACTTTCTTTCCATTCCATGTCTGTTTAACTGGGAACTAGCAACATATTATACTTTCTGAAAACAATTATTTTTAATACATAAAAACAATTTTTTAATATATAAAAAATGTAATCGAAATTTTTTAACAATATTTAATGCCGCTGGAGCCAGAGCCGGAGTAAAGTACTTAAGAGCCACAAATTAATATATATATATATATATATATATATATATATATATATATATATATATATATATATATATATATATATATATATATATATATATATATATATATATATATATATATATATATATATATATATATATAGTTCCTAAAGTAAGAGTCACAAATTAAAAAACTTTGAGCTGATCCATTTTCTTACGGCTCCTCAACCCTGGTTGTACCCCTACCATTCTGAATCCGACTAGATCTTTATCATTTTCTTCTTGTAGTCAGGAACGGAAATTAAATTTCTTCAACTCTTACAAGAAGAACATCTTAATTGGAAGAACACTTAATACAATGAGAAGAACCAAAAACTGGCTAGGAGCAATAATTGGAGATAAAAAACTTTTTGGATTATGCGTGGCAAGTGTTCTCATAAAAAAGATTTTAAAAAGCATTTTATGTCAAAAGTTATCAATAAATTCGGACTATATGCAACGCATTTTGATTTGAATCAATTGTTTATTAAAGTTATTTTGAATAATTTATGTACTCAGATTTCTATAAATATTACAAAACTTTGCTAATTTTAACTTTTCTAACATCTATATTGTGGGTAATGCGATATACACTTTACAAATGTTACATATAATATAACTTTGCTAATTCGTTTTACAAAGATGTCTATGTTTCAATAATTCTTAATTAATTTTAATGAAAAGATTGTGCTTCGTAATATGTATATAATGTTTAGTGATGGTTTAATGATGGCCTCTTTACTTCAAATAAAATTTTCGTAATATGTATATAAAGTTTAGTGATGGTTAAATGATGGCCTCTTTACTTCAAATAAAAAAATTTTTGTAAAGCTTTAACTACTAACTTTTTAAATTGAGTTTTCTAAAATGCAAAAATGTTTCAAAATCATATTTTTATCACCCATACTCTAAAAAATGAAAACTTGAAAGAAAGTGATCAGACTATTCTTGAATACTATAACATGTTTGGTAAAATCATTGAATTGTGTTCGGGCACAACATCCAGTAACACTAGGGAGAGGTTGGGATGAGTCAATACCACTATAACGTCCTTTGCATTAAGAAAACCAGCTTTCTAGTTAATGTGCACACACCACATCAATTAGGCATGCAGCTCATGTGATGAATAAAATATTTGGTGCAACCAATATCCTAACTGGCTTAAAGTTTTTTTTATTACAGTTCTTTATAAAACTACTTTTCAGCAAGATGATTACATGCATTTTAGTGAGTTTGTAGCATTTTTTCCGGTAGTTCAGTAACTAAACTTCTTATTTAAACAGCCTAAAGTTTACCAATAAGCCTAACATATTGGCAGTCTCTACTTGTTGATTCTTTAGATGTCAGATTTTGAAAGAGTTTAAAAAAACAAATTGAAACGTATGGTGACTGCAACCAATTAATAAGATTAATGGCTTTAGATGTAACTAACGAAAGCTATTTTTATCAAATTTGTTTCCATTCCTCAATGAGAATTGCTTTTTTTTTTGCCACAAACTGGATGGTTTTCGATCAGCTACTTTAATTTTAAAAAGATTCCATAAACTTTTAATCGGATTTAGGTCTGGTGACTGAGGAACCAAACCTAACATCTTTATACTGTTTTTGATGTGTATTTAGGATCTCCATCCTGTTGAAAGATAAAATTACGAGATATGCTAACACTTCTGGCGCATGATCTTAGTTTTCGCTTCATAATATCAGACTAAGCCTTTTTTATCATTATTCCGTCAATGAATTCAAGTTCACCAACACCACTCCAAGCAAAGGAGCCCCAAACAATCATTCAACCTTTGATAAGAGGAAAAAATAAGTTAGAAGTACATGTAAAATTGAAATGTTATAATAAAGCTTAATGTTATCTCCTCCATGCTTGACAGATGGTCTCATACATTTAGGGTTTAGGCGTTCACCATTTTTTCTCCATTTGCGTATGATACCATCAAA